GTAACATTGGTTTTGCTTTGTTTCACAGAACTAATCGTTGCCTGGGTTGCGTACGTATGTGTGGGGCGGAGCTATCAAAATAGGGGCGAGACCCTTTTGGGGTAGGGGCGTATTTTTTTTGGTGATTTCAAATGTCAACATTGGCTACTAGAAATCGCTTACCCCACCTGTAAAGAGGCAAACAGACACAGGAAGTGCTCGTAATACCAAGTTTCAGGCATTTGTTCAAATAAGTACAAGCTATAAAGGTAAAGAATAAATAAAAAGAAAGACAACGTTTTTTTTTTAAATTTAGGATGAAGTCAAGTAGCGTCGAAAGAGATGAGTTTTCAGCTGTCAAGTGAAGTGTTTAGTGTAGGTTTTTTTAGCAGTGGGGTTACCCGAGCCTGCTTGAATGCAGTGGGGAAGGTGCCTGTGAGGAGAGATGTGTTGATGATGTGTGTGAGTGCTGGTAAGAGTGTTGGAGATATTGCTTGGAGAAGGTGTGAGGGGATTGGGTCTAGAGGGCATGTTGTAGGATGGCTGGAGAAGAGAAGTTTTGATACTTCTGCCTCAGTGAGGGGACAGAAGGAGAGAATGTTGAAGTCGCCAAAGACTAAAAGTGGACTGCCATCCTCCGGGAATGAGGACAGCAGCCCATCCAGCTCCTCTAGGAAGGTGCCTAGAATTTGCCCAGGAGGGCGGTAAATTACCACAACCTGGAGTTGTATAGGAGCTGTTACAGTAACCGCATGAGATTCAAATGAGTTATAACTGCATAGGGGAGAGTGTGTTGAGTATTTCCAATTGTTTGAAATGAGCAGACCAGTGCCCCCACCCCGGCCAACCTGACGGGGGGTGTGAGCGAAAGAGAAATTGTTAGATAGAACAGCTGGGGTTGCTGAGTCTTCTGGACGAATCCAGGTCTCAGTCAAGTCCAAGATGCTGAGTGTAGATTGTAAAGAAAAAGCAGAAATAAAGTCTGCTTTGTAGACAGCTGACTGACAATTCCAGAGACCCACAGAAAAAGAAAGAGGTGCAGTAGAAGATGTAGAGATAGGATGCAGGTTATCACGATTGCGTTGATGTAGAGATAGGATGCAGGTTAGCAAGATTGCATTGCCGTCTGTGTGTGACGTTAGAGAGGACAGAAAAGGAGAGTGTGTAAAGGGAAGATAAAAATAGTACTTAAGTGCGTTGCCGGTTTCATTGCTCGGTGAAGTCGCGCAGGTAAAGTCGCCAGTCTTCACCGATGAGGCTGAACACAAGGGCTGAACGCTTCCGCTGACGCTTCCGCGACATCAAAGACATACACAGTCTAAGAGACTACAGTGAAAACAGCTGTGGCCGCCTTTTAATTAGCACAACCAATAGCCTATAGCAGGGCAATTGCTCAAATCGAAACTACAGTTCGCACTTAAGTGCAGGAAGAGAGCAATTCAAATAACACAGGCTCCTTCTTAGCTGACGGTAATTATTATAATTACCGGTAAGTGCAATCAAAAATACAAACTACAACAAAAATACAAAGTAGAAATTAGGGCTGCACGATAAATCGCATGCGATATTTAACGCGCATCTTATCAGTAA